GCAGAGGTGGATGGGGAACGGCCATGGCCTTGTACACAGCACCTTCAGAGCCTGTGTTGGCAATGTTTCTGGCCTATGTTGTATCCATTCACATTACTACAAGGAACGTGCCACAAAGGACTTCATTTCCCAGGCACCCTTGCAGATGAGAAGGACAAAAGGTTGCCAGCCATCAGCCTGCGTCTTGGGCTGGAATTTGTGACACCTGTTGTTTCTGGGCTACTTCAAGGAAGAAGTTTCCCCTTTTACTCCCTATATATAGCTGGCTAAGCCCTTCAAACCAGGCCTAGTTCATGTTCCTGCAAGAGCCAGCCTTGCCCTGCTGGTGGGTAGCCAGGCAATGTTTATTAAGAAATACATCAGCAAGCATTTTTCATGTTGACACAGCAATATACAAATCAGAAATGAAAAGACCAAGGTAGAATTAAGTTTAGCTACACACATACACCTCCTTGAAAGAATGTAGCTGTGTTAGAAGTGCATATTTCACTGTTACCAGTATTAGCAAAAATAGATTTACTATTTTAATAAACAATGTGAGTGCTTCATAATTGCCAGCAATAACACTTGTATTGGGAGTCACTTAAGCAAAAGAGGCATGGTCCTTGCTCAACTTGGTAGCTCAGACCTGTAATCCTAGCAGCCTGACACATGGAGGCAGGCCAGCCTGAGCTACTTAGCAAGACTGTCTCTCACGGGCACATTCATGTTTTCTCTCTCCCTCCCTCCCACCCTCTCTCATTCTTTTGCTTCTTGGGATATGGGAGGTGGGGCAGTCTCTGTCCTTCTGGACTTGACAACCTAATGAGAAAGGCACACAATAAGGTAAAGGAACAGGGTGGCTATACATAGTACCACAGACTACACACTGTCCGCCTTCAGGGCCCATTATGCATACTAACTCTGACATGAATGGTGCCTCGCTGCTGAGCATAGCCTATACAACCACATAGTGTTAGACCTTGAGACATTTTTTTCTAAACTATGCTAAGTAGTGATAGGTGAAGGACCACCCGTGGGAACACACAGCAACACCACGTGGCCCAGCCTATGAGGTGGTTTCCCCAAGGAAATTACTTCAGCTGAAACTTGATAGTAAGACAGCTTATTAGCCAAGAGAAAGGAAGAATCATCCAGGGAAAGGGAGTTACACGGTGTAAGGCCAAGGACAGGGGTTCTGAGGTAGAGGTAAGCAAGGAATGAATATAATGGGACTTGGAGGCTCCTGTTGCTGACCTCCCATGACAGTGTCCTATCTTTGCACACCCAGATCAGCTGTGCTCAAGGCTTACGGATCTCAAGCTGCTCTCTAAGTAGCCCTTGTGACATCTGCTCGCCTGGAGCATTTGATTCAAAAGCTCTGGGTAAATGTGATTCCCAGAGAAGATCCCCATCTTCAGACAGATGGCTCCAAATGTCGGCTCTGGTTCCCACCACCTGTTCAACCTGATCAAATGTCAAACATTCTGATTCAGACAAAAATCAATCTGATTGTGATACTTCTCTATTTAAAGCTTTTTAATGTAATGCTTAAGGGATTTTCAGACAAAACAAACTATATTGTTTGAGAGAAAGTTATAACTCCTTTATATGACTCATGAGGTACAGTAATCCCCCAGAAGGTAGTAGCTAATTCTGTATTGTCACTGAGCACAATCAACTTACACAGAGTGAAATAATGTTAATGGTGAATGCATGTGTGTGTAGATAAAGATATGGATGGGTGGGTGAAGAAATGGATAGGTAAAGGTGTGGTTGGATACATAAGTGAAGAGATGGATGGATGGATGCATGGATGGATGGACAGATGAAGAAAGGGATGGATGGTGTATTATCTACTCTTTGTTGCTATGACAAAAATACCATGACCAAATGCAATTTAAGGAATACTTTATTTTGGCTCATAGTTCTATTGGGAAAGTCCATAATGGAGTGGAAGACAAGCCAGCCTAGTGGTCAGAGCAGAAAACTGGCAGAACACATTTCATCTATTCACAGGAAGCAAAGAGAACAGGAGGTGTAGCCAAGCTATAAGCCCTCAAAACTTGCATCTTCCCGTCCCCCATAAAAAAAAGCCAGCACCCAGTGGTATTCCTCCTACAGTAAGGCCCCACCCTTCTACAGGTCCTAAAGGTTCCATAACCTGTTCAAATAGTGCCACCAATCAGAGATCAAGTATTCAAATACATGAGCCTAAAGGGAGCAGCTCCCATTTCAACAATCTCAGGAAAGAGAGAGAGAAATAGGTAGAAGGCATCAAAGTCAGCTTTAGTTGTCAATTTGACATACCTGTGGAAAAGGAACCTCAACTGAAGAACTTCTCTGTCAGACTGGTTAGTGGGACACTGTCTTGATTGATGGTTAATGTGGGAAAGCCAGGCCTACTGTGGGCAGTGCTAGACATAGGCAGGCTGGTCTGGGATATAAAAGAAAAGTAGTTGAGAAAGCCAGTAAACAGCATCCTCCCATGACCTCTGCTTCAGTGCCTGCTTTGAGTTCCTGGCTTTACTTCCCTCAGAGACAGATTGTGACCTGGGAGTCCTATCCCCATTGCTTTTGGTCATGCTATTTATCACAGAAATAAGAAACAAACTAGGACAGACATCAGTATTGTGTGGTGTTGCTGTGATGGACTTGACAATACTGTTTTGAGGGAGGGCTGGAAAAACCAGAGAGTGCTCAGAGCTTACTGGGCTCTCTGTGGTTCTTAGAAAACAAGGATATTGAGATAAATGCAGACAATGGAGGGCTGGCCTGTGAAGTTTCAGGGGACAGCAAAGAATCTACCAGGGTAGTTTATGTGATGTACTTAAATAAGAGTCTGTGGAAGCGAAACATTTGTCTTAATGGGAAAATGGATGCTGGTCAATTGGAACAGAAAAAAATCAGCAATGATTCATAAGAGATCAGTATCACTGAGGTGAAATCTTCTGGGAAGCATTTCCTCAGGGTCAGCACACAGCAGCTGTGACCTACATCTTAAGCTGGCAGCTGAACTTGGTCATGTGCAAGAGTCTCTCATATGCAGGTTTGGGTGGCATGAAGAGGTCATGGAGAACAGCTGAGGGTTAGTCCAACGTGGCAGGGCTGGAGTCCAGGAAGAAGCCTGGAGAGCCCGTTGGTGAAGATTCAGTCTCGGCTGTAGTGGAGACTTCAGCATCTTCAAGATGCTGTGACTGTGGGATGTTCACCAAGGACAGCAGTTTGGGATGGAGCCATCCTGTGCCTAAGGGATAAACTGTGTGTTGTAGATGGCAGAATAAGGGAAGTCTTTTGGAGCCAGAATCATGAGTGAGTCACAAATGTTGGAATTTTACACTGTTGAGTATCAGTTTTCCTTTGATCTGATTGTTAAGTGTGCTCTGGTTCTTCTCTCTTACAATAAGAAGTATTTAACTTGTTTTTTTTTATTTTATAGGACTGAGTTATGAGACTTTGAACTATTTTAAAGAAACATTGAACTTTTAAGTAATAGAATACAAAAAGACTGTGGAACTGCATGAGTTGATAGATGGATGGATAAAGGGGTAGATGGATGAAAAGGAAAATAGATGAATGGATGGATGGATGGATGGATGGATGGATGGATGGATGGATGGATGAGTGGATGAATGAAAATTGGTGGAGCAGGTGGTTGGTCAATCTTTTCCTGCTTATATCTCTCCATTTAATCTATCCTTAAGAAGTGACTGGTGGGGGCTAGAGGTCAGCAGTTAAGAGCACTGGTTGCTCTTCCAAAGGTCCTGAGTTCAATTCCCAGCAACCACATGGTGTCTCACAACTATCTATAATGGGATCTGATGCCCTCTTCTGGCCTGCAGGCATACATGCAGGCAGAGTACTCACACAGAAACAAAAAGAGACTGGCACCTAGGTAGAATAATTTCCATAAACTTTAATATCTGAGTGTACCCTTTCAAATTTCTATAACTTGACAGTAAATTTTTGTTTGTTGTCTGAAAGGGAAAATTATACACATTTGAAAAGGTGTACTCCCAAGACCATTTGCTACAGTATGATGCACATTATAAAGAACCACAGTGCCCTAGGGTGTCTATCACTAGAGTGTTGCTCACATAAATCATGAATTTGAATGCACACTATAATACTAAACAGCCTGCAAGTGAGCATAGGGACTCCCATTTTGTCAGCGCTGAGACAGTATCATTTTAAGATGCATTATCTTTCATTTTCTTCTACCAATTTATTTTTCTCCTGCAACAAATTTATTGTTGGCAACAAGAACAAACCAGACCATTCCTGTAAAATGTTACTTAGAAGTCCCTTGAGTGAAGCATGTTCCTTGCTTACAAGTTCTGCTTTCCTAAAGCAGTATGACACAATTGAGAAAAGCATTCTGCTACAATATAATGACGGTTGTATCTCCTGAAGTGTCCATAACAATGTGGTCCTAATGTATAACCAAATGTATGTTTAGTAGTCATATTTTACCTTTCCTTATATTTAAGATATAATATAAATTCTCACATACATATTCCCATATATATTCTGTAACTTTAACATAATATCTATTTCTAGCTCAGGCCTGTCATCTCTTTTTAAATTATCACTAGCAAATGCAGGCTACTTAATAGAAACTGATCTTTTATCTATAAGACTCTCAAAATTCTAGCCATTATCCAAGTTTGGGATCACGGATATTATATATTTTAGTTATCTGTTAGAACAGCAAACCAATTCCAGCTATGAATATTTGTATCATGTTACTAGTACAATAAGTTACAAAAATGATAACTTAAACCAATAACAATTAATTTATTTTCTCATAGCTAGGGATCTAGGCTTGCAATCATCCCACTGTACTCAAGGATTCAACACGTGAACATTTATTCAACAGGAAAACTAATTTTATTTCAAAAATTTCATTGTCACTTTTTACAAACTTATTTTCTAGATATCTAGTCTAGGGTTTTTTTTGTAATTTTTCTTGCCAAAGATGCATCATCTTATAATGTTAGAAAAAATGCCTAGCAACTTCATGCTATACACATTTCTTTTATTTGGCATATTTAAGTTGCACACCATTCTTTTGCATACATGAAAGAAAAATGTCAGCATAATGAAGTACGTTTCTGAGAGGTCTTCACTTTTGGAGTTCAACTCTTCTGAACACACAGCAATCAGGAGACATTCAACATGGTTATGTTTATTGGTAGATTCCAGTCATACAGAGTAATGGCTTTCATTGTGTGTGCTGTGCTCATATATAACACAGCTCGATCATAGTTATTCTGTTTCCTCTTCTATCCTACTTTCCCTTCTTTTTCATTTATTCTTATTCCCCACTGGTTCCACCATTCACTTTGATGTCCTTTCCCCACTTAGAGTTTTCATGTGAGGAAGCATGTGATACTTGTCAATTTGGCATGTTTTGCTTAACATGATGACCTCCAGTTCCATTCACTTTCCAAAAACTGATGTGGACATTTGTTTGTTCGTTTTTTCTTAATGGCTGAACAACAGTCCATTGTGGACGTGCACCCCATTTTCTTGATCCATTCCTCGACTGATAGACACCTGGGCTGATCATAGCTGGGCTGTGGCCAACAGTGTCCCCATTACAATAACTATGGCAATGCAGGTACTGAACACTGACTTCATTTTCTTCAGGTATACATCCATGAGAAGCATATTGGGATGGTGTGGTAGTTCCTGTTTTAATTTTCTGAAGACCATCCACAGAGGCGACAGTAGCTTCCACTCCCACTAACGGTGTTTAAGGATCCCTGCTGTCCTCTTCCCCTCACCAACATCTGTTCTTTGCTTTCTTCTGACTGAGGTGAGATGTCATTTTGATTTGTACTTCCTCAGTGGCTAAGGATGTTAAACATTTTCATATATTAATTGACCATTTGCACTCCTACTTTTGAGATATATCTGATCAGATTTTTTGTCCATTTACCAAATAGATTATTTGGAGAGGTTAGTGTTTATTCTTGGATGTCAATATTTTGAATAAATAGTTGGCAAAGATTTTTCTCTCATCTTGTAGACTGATGGTTCTAATTCTCTGTGTGTGTGTGTGTGTGTGTGTGTGTGTGTGTTTGCTGTGTAAAACTTAAATTTCATGCAACCCTATAAATGTGCATATATTTTTATGCAATGTTGTCCTCTGTGACATCAAGAGTGGGAATTTCCTTTCCTAGGAGTACATGAAATAGAAAGAACTACCTCCCACCTGGCTTTGCAGTTACTTAGAATTGGCTGAACTCCAGCTTTCAGGATACTGATAAGACACCTTTGGTTTAGTCTAGTAAACTCTCCCCAGGATCCTTTCTAAATATTTTTTCCCTAAGTGTTAAAAGGAAACTTACCTCTTGCTAATAGGTTTTCCTGGGCCATTAACACCCCTCTGTCTGTGTTGATGCTTGTGTGAATGTGCCCACAGTGGGCACTGCCTGCCTACACTTCATCCCCAATGGCAAGAGTGTGGAATTCTTAAAAAGAAAGCAAAATATTAGTATTAGTGAAATACATTGCCTAAGTTGTTAAGGAGTGATCAAAGTCAAGTTTTAGAATAGCATGTGTAGCATGTGTGGTGAGGACTTTAACCCAGTAAGTTAAAAGCCTATTCTTGTAGAGTGTAGTTTTTTCCTTGCCAGCTGCTTTGGTTTTTCCCCTGCCAGCCACCTGGACTCTGCCACAGTTGCAGTCCCCAAATAACACACAGGACGCTATATTAATTATAAAGCTGTTGGCCATTTGCTTGTTTCTTACTGGCTAGCTCTGACCTAAGTATTTAACCCATAACTGTTAATCTAAGTATTTCTCTTACCGGAGAAAAGTGTCCGGACCTCTTATTCCTATGGCGGCTACATCACGACTGCCTGTGTCTCTCTTTCCCAGAATCCTCCTCAACTCCTAGTCCCACCTATCTTGCTTCCCTATTGGCCAACAGTGCTGTATTGACATATACACAGGACTTCCCCATCATATTGTCACATACATTTGTGCCAACTCAAAACACACTGTTGGATATGTCCATCCAAATATTTTCAATAATCATCTATAGGTAGTGAGACCAGGGATATTTGGGTTTCTTTGTGTTTTTCTGCATAGTTATCAGTATTTACAGTAATGTTATGACATGTTTTAAAATGCAACAAACATTTATAAATGATGTTAAGAGAGTATGGAAAATTGGGCAAAACAATTGTTCTCTCTCTCTCTCTCTCTCTCTCTCTCTCTCTCTCTCTCTCTCTCTCTCTCTCTCTCTCTCTCTCTCTCTCTCCCCCCACCCCGTGTGTGAGAGAGGTATATAAGGCCCTGAGAGTGCGCGCACACTCTTAATTTCCCCATCACATTAAACATAGGATCTGAATTTCTCTCTCGGACCCTTGCAATTCTTGGCAGCCCACTCATCTTCCTCTGTCTACGGTGTGCCTGACATTTGGATGTCCGATTAATAGACAGGGTCACCCTGACCATAGCCAATCATCTCCTCTCCCCGTTTTCCATTATATATATCCCTGTTTTGCTTCCTTCGGAGTCCTAATGACTTTGAAGACTCACCTCGGTTAAGCATGTGTGCCTCCTTTGTGGTCCATTTCTCTGTGTTAGCAGGATTCTTGGCTGTCATGGTAACCACTGTCGGTGTGCATAAGTTAGTTTTCCTCCTTGGAAAAGCAAGTGCTAAAAGGAATTGAATGTGAAAGAGGTGTCCTGGGAGGAAAACCTGTGAAGAACAAAGGTGGGAGCAGAAAGAGGCAAGGAAAATACACAGACAAAATGCAAGTCTGAACCCAGAGGGAGGGCAAGAGGAAGGGACCACGTGGACAGGACCATGGAAGAGCAGATTGCAGGACAGGCCTAGGGAGGTCCTCATGCAAAGCCAGCTTTGCGGTTTCCCCACTACAGGAGCAGCTCAGCACCCTCCCCTCTGCTGTGTTCAGTCCTCTGTCAGGCTCTCGGTAGCTCTGGAGTCCAAACCTTAGTGCAAACGTGGGCTGTGGATCCTGAAGTGGCTGATTTCCAGTCCACCATAGCTGTGATTGAATGATTTCAAATACACACATAAGCACACACACATAATCACACACACACACACTTATTTTATGTGCATGGGCATTTGGTCACATGTATATCTGTGCATTGGTTCTTGAGAAGGCCAGGAGAAGATGTCAGATCCCTTTGGAACTGTGACTGGGTTACAGATGCCCATAAGCCACCACTTGGTGCTGTGAATCAAATCTGGGTCCAAGAGAAGGGCAGCCAGTGCTCCCAACTGCTGAGCCTTTTCTCTATCTAGCCCACAAATATTTATTTTAAATGATTGATTGGAAAGTTTTCCAAAGTAGCTCACAATTCTAAAAATTTGAGGACTATTGATCTGAGAAAGATCCCCAGGGTGCTATACATCCATACCATATTTGTTTTTACTTCAGCCTCCTTTGAGCACTGGCATTGAGGAATTGCTCGACAAAATGCTCTTTTTACTTTGAAAATGCTCTCAGGGTACTTAACACTGTGTTAGTTCATGTTACTTTTTGAAGGGAAAATAGTTCTTCTTGGTCACAGTACCCAAGGAGAGTCAATGCACTAGACCATACCAGGTTAGATATTTATGTAACTAACAACCTGGACAGAGATGGGAGAAGTTTGGAATCAAACTTATGGCCCATTCTGAAGTGGTTTCAACACATATTTACATGTGCTGTTCCATCAACTATTGATTGTAAACCAGTCTTACTAATGCATTGATCTTATTTTTCCTATACTTAATCCTCTTGTCCCAAATTATGACATGCTTGCTTTTAACTTTTCTTGTACTGCATACATTTTAATAAGATAGCATATACATTTTGAAGTACAGCTGGATATAAATTAACTGGTGATTATTTTATTGAGTGCCAAGCATGGTGACAGTCATTATTCAACTCTGGCCTTTATACCAGTGGTTCTCAATCTTCCTAATGCTGCAACCTTTTAATACAGTTCCTCATGCTGTGGTGATCCCCCTCAACCACAAAATTATTTTTGTTGCTACTTCATAACTATAATTCTGCTAGTGTTATGAATCATAATGTGAATAGTTTTGGAGCTAGACATTTGTTAAGGGGGTCGCGACCCACAGGTTGAGTACTACTGCTTTATATGTTCATCCCATCTACTTCTCTCTGTCCTTTACTTTTTTTCTTGATTGTCCATCAGAGTCCATAGGACTTTTTATGATGGCGGCTTCCTTGGTGGCCTACCCCAGCAGAGCATTCTGATGTCACCCATTTATATAGACCCAATTAATCAATGTTCATAACCAAATATGGTGTTGGATTGATCACCTCCTTTACTCCACCTCCAACACCCTCCACTTTCATTTTCTACTTCATTTATTTCCAAATTGCTTGTAATTTTACAAGTACAACCCTGTTATCATGAGGGGGGGGGAATAAAGCTATATGGAAGTCTGTAACTGGATTAATCTCTAAGAGATTTTTCAGTCTTTCCCCTCCTACCAGCACTTTAATGGAGACTTAAAATATGAACTAAGATGAATGTATACATCAGAGAATACCAAAGAACAGTTAGAATTTATTTTACTAGAGAGCTGAGAATAGAAAATCCCATTACAGACAAAAATCTCTCTCCCCATTCTGATATTCTGTATATATTTAATCAATCAGGAAAATCAAATCAGGAAAAAATGCTCTAAGAAGCAAGAATGTTCAGATCAAAAATAGAATGGTTTCCATTACTGAACAGCTAAATTGGTTTATTACTGAAGGGTACGTGCGTTTGGCCACTGTGGCGTTCAGGAGGAATTCAGAGAATTGCAGTGTGGGTCGCACAGAACCCATGTGTTATTAGAATGAGCAGACATCTTATTTAGAATGATTGATGGCCCCTGCTGAGATGAGCAAGTGTGGAAAACATATGCCACCTGGTTTTGTGTTTTGGCTGCCAGATGGTGCCTCACCCCACCCAGCCCTGGGCTGTCCCTCCCTCCTACCCATGTCAGTCCCTTCCTTGTCCCAATCCCTCTCCACTCCCTGTAATCTACTCTCCTCTCCGTCTGGGGATGGGGAATGATATATGAGGCCCAGGTGTATTTTGCATTTTAGTGAATAAAATGAAAAGCTTAAATTTGAATGCTTGGTTTTCCAAGACATCTTTTGAAATTAATTAATTTATTTGTTAGAGCCACCCACTTGCCATGGCATGTGTGGAGGTCAGAGCTGCTTCTTTCCTCTTACTGTGTGGGTCTGAGGACTGAACTTAGGTCATCAGGCTTGGTGACTTTACCCACTGGGCAATCTCCCTGGCCCCTGGGATGTATGCTGACAGCATCTGAAGGTCACATAGCTGTCTCACCTATTAGAAGATCACCTTTCTATCCTCAATGCCAAGACATTTCCTGGAACACAGTAGTCATGTAGCAAATGCTTGTTGTATGAATGGATATGAAAGAGTAAAAACATGGGCACCTTGGGAGGGTCAGGGTTCTGTGAACCTGGGTTTCTTCCCAGCCCTGAGTCCACCAGAATGTGCTGAAGACCCACCGGAGCCTTGGCTCCACCAGTTCTTAACATCTCCTCTCTTCCCTCAAGGACAGCGTAACATCAATGGTGCCAGTCTGGTTACGGGTTACCCTGGGGAATTCTGCCATCACTTCCCATTACCCAGATCATGTTAACTGACCTTAGAGGGCAGGCTTTCTTCAAGGGGCAAACCCTTTTACTTGGAATCAAACATTCCCTCTTTTTAGGTGTATAAATTTACATTTTAAAGCTGGGAGTGGTGCTGCATGCCTTCCGTTCCAGCACTTGGGAGATCAAGGCAGGAGGATCCAGTCTTTAAGGTAATCCTTGGCTATATAGTGAGTTCAAGGCCAGCCTAAGATATATGAGACATCTCCTAAAAAATGAATAAATAGCTTGTTTAAGAGAAGTAGGAATTGAGCTATGACTGTGGCTGCTTATCAAGGTACTAGACTCTATCACAGCCCAGAAAAGAAGTAAGGGTAAAGGGAGGAAAAGATAAAATCTTATAAGCCTAACACTGTCTGATACAAACACTGTTAAGATTTGATAATACAAGCCAATGCTTTTGTCCACTGTTTCATGGGATTGTACTCAGTACGCACACACTTCCACTCCTTAAGTTTTTGTCTTTTCTTTCTTCCTCTTTTTAATTACTCAGGAAGGCAGAAACAATGTTAACTCTGTGGAAACTGTTTAATATAAGGATTGGTATTCTAGTTTGTTTTTCTGTTGCTCCAATATACACCACGACCAAAAGCAACTTAGAAAATAAAGGGCTTTTATGGCTGATACTTCCAGGTTATGTTGAGGAAGTCAGGGAAGGAGTTCAAGATAGGAACTTGAAGCAGAAACCACAGAGGAAAGCTCCTTTACTGGCTCAGCCTCAGCCGACTTTTTATGACCCAAGACCACCTGCCTAGGGAATAGCACCACCCACAGTGAGCTGGCCCCTGCTATATTAATTATCAGTTGAGAAAATACCCCATCCCCATGCCCAGAGGCCAATCTAATTCTTCAACTGAGACTCCATCAGATACCTCTGAGATATCAAGTTGACAGCTGAAGCTAACTAGGAGACTTGGTTAAACAGATATTGGGGAACTAAAACACAAAGAAGACCCTGAAATAAAACCAGGAAGGAAGTGGTCACCACACCCCCCAGGATTGGAGGATCCACAGGAGAGTTGGGGTAGTCAGCACCAGAAGCTTGGTAAGGAAAGGGAGAATGGGTACTTAGACCTCTGGGGAGGATACAGAGAGATGCTTCTGGAGAGAGGGGCACTACGGGAGCATCTGTAAAGGCAGCTAGGTGACCAACAAGCTGGAAGCCAACATACAAGGCAGTTCCTCTTCTTCCTCCCCTTGCCTTTAGTGCCCCTGGGCCCCTAAGGGTGGAATCTAACAGGGAGCTAGCCAGCAAGGAAATCTGATGGGAAAGGTCCCAGCTCTAGCTCATGGAACAAGGTTCCCAGGAGGAAGAGAACAGCATTTTAAGATGAAAACAAGTGACTCAAAGCCAGCCTGTATCTTAAGTCCGTTTCTGTATCACTGCAACACCCACATTTCTAATGATGGGGTGTATTTTGTACAGTGATTTTAAACCTTACTTACTTAACCATTCCCTATTGTTAGACCTTCACATATATGCCTGGGGTTTTGCTTTTGAAAATAAAGGTATAAACGTGTCTTGAAAATGTTGCACATTTGTTCTCCTGTTCCCTCAGGGAAAATTCTCAGGTTAATCCCTGCTTCAGAGGGCATGAAAAGTGTCATGACACCTCCGATTGCCAAATTGCTTTTCAAACCAATTGTTTCAATTTGTGCTGTCGCCAACAGCACATGAAAATGAAAATGAATTGGCTAAAACCCACCACACTCCCCAGACCTCTGTGCTTGCAAGATTCAAGACAGTGTTTTGAAATCCTCAAAGCTTTCCATTCTGACCTGGTAAGCACACACACACACACACACACACACACACACACACACACACACACACACACACACACACACACACACACATTCTGTGATCACCACACAGCAATTAGGCAATTAGGATCTGTGGCCACACTTGGCTAATGTTATAATTTATAAATTTACAAATGTGGGGTATGTTCAAAAGTCACCCTTTTGGCTCAGGCTACTAGGTTACAAAACCTTTAGTTTTAGGCAGGAGTTCACTGTGTAGCCTTCCTCAGCCTCCCGTGTTCAGAGACTGCAGGTGTGAACCACCATTCCTGGCTAAAGAAACTTCTTCATCTCTCTTTAGTTTCCCCTTCAGCTCCTGCACCCCAGGGATTCAGCCCTCAATAAGCACAGACTCTTTAAAGGAGTCCGATTCAGTCTTGGACTAGTATTCCCAATTTCTCTAATTCCATGTGAATGACTAGTATAGACTGGGAGCCATTAGCTGGTGACTTTGGAGAGGGGAAAAAGCATGTTTTAATTATAAAATTTATTTTAAGACTCTATTTAAAAGCATAGTTAATTTTTCCAAAAGTACTTGAGATATAATGAGTAATGATCTCTGCCTTCGAGTTTATACTCTTATCTTTTTATTTTTAAATATTAAAAAGTATAATTTATGTTTTAAAGATTTTAGTGATTTGGAAATTAAAAGTCAGTATAAAGAGATTCTAATCTATATCTTTGATTGCCTGAGAGTTATTAGAGTGTTTGTATGTGTGAGATTGTTTCTGTTAGTGTTCATACATGGAACAGAGAGAGGGTATACAAGTATGTGAGTATTAGGGTGTTTGTGTGTTTATCAGTTATTTTGACATAGGCAAATTTTATAAAATGTTGTTTATAATAGATAAGCATATATGAAATATTATTTTATTTTCTATCTTAACGTTGTTCTTTGTATGAATAAATGTATTAGATCAGAAAAAGATGCCATTGCCTTATGATTTGAATCAAAAGATTTTGTGCTAGGCAATTGAGACAGTTTATGGAGAAAGGGTCACCAAGTCAGATGACAGAGCTCAATCCTTAGGACCCACATGGTGGAAGGAAGGACAACAGTCGCATTTGTACCCTAACCTTTACATGCTCTCCTTAGCCCACTTTTGAGCACAGGTATGTAATAAATAAATAACTGTAACTTAAACATTTTAAAAAATAGTTTGTACTTCGAGTCAAACATGGCACTGCTTGTCTGTAATCCCAGCACCTGGAAGACTGCGGGAGAAGAATCTATAATTCAAGGGCAGCCTGTACTAAGTAGTGAGTTACCGTCAAAAAAAAAAAAAGAGACTATTTTACTTAAATCCAGGCATATAAGCCATAGCTTCACACATAACTCCATGTAAAATGCATCTGTATTCACAAGCTAGTCCTTGGAGGGGCCAATTCTGCTAATAAATGACCATTTCCACTTCCTTTAATTAACTTTAATAAGGCAAATTTCATGTAGCAGTTTGTTCTATTAAATCTAAGTTGTCTCCTCTTTCTTCCCAAATTTATGGCCTCTAATTTCAGTGTTCCTCATATTTATCAAAACCACATACACAGGCACATAAAAATTACATCCTTGTTTCGTGGGGTTGAGGGTACTGGGAGTTGTTTCTTTGTCTCCTTCCTTGACCCTTTGGGTTGGTGAACTCTGGCATGCTTTTCTTATTGTCATGGAGAGGATGTGAGGGGGAAGAAAGACAGACAGAAGCCTCTGTCTGCAGCCTGCATGTGGCCAGCAGACCTCACCTAGTGTGAGGAGAGTGAGGGCCTGGAATGTGAACCCCATTTTATGACCACTATGAACTGGCAAGTTAGTGGGCAGCAGAGTCCCGAGGACGCAGAGACTCCTCTGCCATCAGCGTGAGCTGAGGGGCTGACAGCCTTGCCCGCGGATAAATCAAAGGGCAAGCATCCGGGGGCTGACAGCCTTGCCCGTGGATAAATCAAAGGGCAAGCATCCGCTGCCAGTTTCGAAGAGCGTGTGAAATATGTGCCTGAGAGGGGAAAGCGGCACCGGGGAGAAGCAGAAGCACCTCCACAGATAGTACCTGGAAAGTTCTGGAAAATGCAACAACTGCCCTAAGCTGGTACTTGGAGGTGGGGTGGGAGGGAAGAGCAAGGAGCAGCAGCAAGGAAGGGTGACGGAATCCAGGAGGGTTCACCTCTTTACAAAGAGGACGCAATCTGGCGACATCATCAGAGGTAGAATATAAGCACCCAACGATGTGCGTGCTCTGAGAGGCAAATGAAGGCCACGACAGGGTACAAAGAGTCTAATGCACCAAGGACAGGAGAATTGAGTGCAGGAGTTAATTTGCAGGCTGCTTGGATCTGACATCTTTGGACAGTGTCACACGAGTCAGACCAGGGACAGTCCAGGGGGAAAGATAGGATGCACTGTGGGGAGGTTTGTGTCTGTGTGGGACATGGGCTGCAGGCCATGGGGCAGGTCGGTAAGAATGGGACCAGATATGAGATCAGGCTCTGAAAACAGACTTGGCATGAGGCCCATGCTGCCAAGCTGGTCTGCCCACACAGCCCTCTGGAGAAGTGAGAGAACAAGGCCCCCTGAATTTCTGGATCATTCAGTCAAGTCACACTAAAGGAATAATCCACATTTGCACCCCTTCTATCCCTCGCTCTTTTTTCCAACTGCATCCTGCGTTTTGTTTCCAACCCCCATTGAAGATATGCCGTGTCGTAACAGTGCATGCTGAGAAAAAAAAATCATACCTGGCCTAAAACTTGCCATCCCATAAGTGGCTATGATTGGTTCTTGCAGGGTGGTGAAAAGTCAGACAGGCTTGAACTTAATTCCCAAGTCCTCAATGTGATCCTGTGAAGTGGACTTGGGCAAGTTACATAAGCTTTGTGGAGACAACAATACCTATCCTCGGGGTAGTTTCAGGAAATCAGTCCATCTCTTACACACAAAGGTGTTCACGCATGTTTATATGCAGACAAGCCTGTGGCAACTGCTACTGTTATTCACAAGGCCGGGGAGTGGGTGAGGTGATGATACAATGCTGTCCCTAGAGAAGAAAGAGCTGAGGACAAAGCAAAGATTTCTAGTAGGCAGGAAGTCGACCTGTGGGACTTCAGCTTTCTGTAGCCCATGTGATGGTCACCGATCAATAAAACTCATGCGGTTTATGAGCATAACTTTATTCTCAAGGAGTTTTGTCCCAAGTGGCATCTTCAGTGGGGGCACGGAACCCAGAGAGGGGCTTGCAGTTCACATTACAGAATTCCCTTCCATCTCAAACTTCAAAAGAGAGGTGTGAAGTTCCTGAAGGAATGCCTCACCCTCAGAAAATCAAATGGTATGAACACCACACCTTAGAAGACCTTAGTCACTTGTTTAAAAAAATCTAAGCTGGAGGGTGAGCCCCACAGCCCTGCTGAAAGTCCCTGGCAGGTTCTGTGCTCCCAGGCTACATCCTGAAATATTTGCCTCAGTCTATCTTGATGGCAACTTCCTTTCCCCACCTGTTCCTGATTGCCGGATCCTGGCCCTAGCCTTGCTTCCTGCCCCTCTGACCCTGCAGCCAGATACTGTTTGCTTCAAGCTGACCTCAGGCTTCCTTGTGCAGCTCAGCCTTCTGAATTTCTCCAGTGCCAGATCCCACACCAGAGTGCCCTTGGAGTTCACTCCACCTCCAGGAAGGAACCCGAGACCCACAGAACCTTTAATCCTGTAAGATTTGAGGCACTTTAAAAATAAAAATACTGAATGACTTGAGGACTTAGGTTTGGTTATCCACATGAACATAAATACAAATTTGTGTAGCTCAAAAGGCCATGTGCAGAGAAGGTCAACTCCTTCTCTAGGTATGCACACGCTGGAAACCAGACCTCTCTCATACATAATTAAAGATTAGTAGTACAAAGTAGAGGGTGGCATGTTGGGGGTCAGCCAATATTCAGAGGGAAACCATGGGAACTAGTGGATTAGGAAAGGGCAGCAGAGGGGTGATTTTAATGTGTTCCCATTGGGTGACATGCCGGTCCATTCTTGCCTAGTAATGGCTTCCCAAGGCCCTGCACCCCCACATGCTGAAATACACCACAGTCTCTCCTCCTGCAGATAAGGGAAACAAATACTGTCTTTTTTCTTCTTTACAGATGAGGAAAATGAGCTAGAGCTGTTGACACTTGTGCAAGGTCATAATCTATTAAATAAATAAAACTTTTATTAAAGAACCCTAACGCCTTCTAGCCACCTCAACTACTTATTATTGCCCCAACATTATCACTCACACTGGCACTCAGCTTATGAATCCCTCTTCCCATACCCCATCCACTAGTCAACATAAATATAGGAACCCCATTTATCCTAGCCACCTCGAGCCTAGTCTTCTGTTCTACCCTATGATCAGGTTGAGCATCCAACTCAAAATATTCCATATCTGAAGCCCTATGAGCAGACCACAAACAATCTCATATGAAGTAGCTTTAGCAATGATCTTACTATCAGTTCTTCTTATAAGTGACTCATTCTCACTCCAATTCCTTATCGCCACACAAGAACCTATCCTGACCATTAGCCATGATATGGTTCATCGAGTTGGGAGTTGAGCCTTGGTAATCCAGCCCCTAGATCCATGCTTTTGACACATACCTTCTATCCTGCTTTGTTTGGTCTGTTACCTTGATACAAGCTAGAGTTAACACAATTGAGAAAATGTCTCCATAAGACTGGCCTGTAGGCAAGCCTATGAGATAACTTCTTAATTAGTGATTGATGTGGGAGGGACCAGCCCATTGTGTATGGTGTCACCTTTGGGCAAGTGGTTTTAAATGTCTAAGAAAGCAGGCTGAGCAAGCCATGAGGAGCAAGCCAGTAAGCAGCATCCCTCTTCCTCCATGACTTCTGCATCAGTTACTGCCTCCAGGTTCCTGCCTTGAGTTCCTACCCTGGCTTCCCTCAGTTATGGAGTGTGACCTGTAAAATAAACCCTTTCTTTCCCATGTTGCTTTTGGTCATGGTGTTTTATCACAGCAACAAAATCCCTAGCTAGGACACCCTACATTATACTGCTTCTCAAAAGAAAAATGCCATGCCGACAGCTTCCCATAGTTTTTAAAATAATTTTTAAATTAAAATGTAATTACATCATTTCTCTCCTTCCCTTTTTGCCCCCCCCAACCCCTCCCATGTCCTCTCCCTCCAACCTTTCCCATGTCCCCCTCTTACTTCCTCATGACCTCTTTTTCTCCAATGATCATTGTTACAGATATACATAAACATATTAATACAACCTGCTGAGTCCATTTAGTGTTATTTGTATGTATATGATTTTCAGGACTGATCACTTGGTATTAGGTAACCAATCAGAAGGCTCATCCCTTAGGAAGACTAATTCTCCCTCTCTCAGCAGTCCTTACTTCCTGTAGTTCCTTGTCTAGTGATGGGGCGCAATGAAATTTCCCCCTTCCTCTTTAGCATGTCTACTGGTGCTGTCTTTGCTCAAGTCTTGCTTAGGCAGCAATACTGTTGTAGTGCAAAGGGGATGTTGTTTTCCTGTCTCATGGCAGACTTCCCAGTCCTCTGGATCTTCCAAACTTCCTGCTCCCTCTTCCAAAGTGTTCCTTGAGCCTTTAGGTGCAGGAAGTGAATTGTAGATGTATCCACTGGGGCTGAACACCCCACGGTCTGTTGTTCTCTGTATTTTGACCAGTTGCGGTTTTCTGTTGCTGCCAAGAGAGGCTTCTTCAGTGAAAGATGAGACCTACACTCATCTGCGGGTAGAAGGGTAAATATTTGTTTTGTTTTGTGTTTTATATGTTTGCTTGCTGTATGAGAGTTTTCAAGCTGGGAGTAAGTTTAGTGGACAAGGGCAGATACCACTTCAAAGTGACTGCTGACCGTTTCCAAATGTAGAAAGAATGAAGCAGCCGGAAGCCAGAAATGTAGGAAAATGAGCTTTTCTCACCAGCTAACCAACACTTAGTACCTGCAAGCCAAGAAATAGCCTAAGATACATCAAATGTCTATGTTTGTCCATGTTTGGACACCTAATTTAGACAACCCTAGAATTATGTGTCCTGAGCTTTACCAGAATCCTTAATCACTGGGTTTTCCTTTTGCTTAACTTTACAGGGAGGCCACTAACAACAGAACATCCTGAGAAACCTGGCTTGTCTTTTACTGGTTTTGTTTGCTTTACAGAAACTGCAGTGACTTCAATTTGTCACTAGTATGGCTGTGACCCATCTCCTGCATCCAAATAATCTTGGAGTGGGGACAATTAGATGCTTCCACAGTTTCCGGTTTATTGTTTGGACTCTGCTTGCAAAGTGAGAAGTGCAGACATGTGATTCTGACGAAGTCCAAAAAACACTGGCTCTGAAAAAAAATCAAGAACAGTGTATTCTTTTTTACATATATTTTATTTTAAATTTAAATTTAAATTAGAAACAAGGTTGCTTCACATGTCAATTCCAGGTCCCTCTCCCTTTCCCTCTCCAAGAACAGTGTATTCTTGCAAAATTTTGGTTGATACTTTTACTATTGATAAAAATATGCTATATTCTATTAGTACAAATAATGAAAAAAAACTTTTGTGCTTTTTCTGTATGACTATTTCTCAGACACAGATTGTAGTGGGCATCACCTACTGAGCAGCCCTGCATTCCTTCTTTAGTAGGATTGAAAGCAGAGTTACAGAAACCAAGTTGGGAACACCCCTTGATCATGTATGTAAACACGTAAGTATCAACTATCACATATATATGTCACAGCAGTGAAGCAAGGGGAAATTCAGGTGTGTGGAGACAGAGGTCCATTTTTAAGCATCTACATTTTTTTCAACATTCATTTCAAAAACTATGTTGAATTCATTTGTACACTTTTTGGATCTTGATGATTAATAAGAAATGTTTGCATCCTTCACAGTTCATACCGACATACAAGTTTATTGAGATACCTCCTCTGAGAACAGCGTCACTGTAGGCTCCAGCTCTGAAGACCATTCCAGACTGAGCCAGCTGACTGAACATGCACCATTATAACACACTGAGAAGTGACCAACTCGATCCAAAGCAAATAACTCCCTTCCCTCTACATTCCTGAGCGGCTAGGCATGTTCTTCCTACTCTTGGATGCCTATAATTCCTGGTCATAGAGTCAATTATGACAAGTAAGAGCCAATATACTGAGTTTTTCCTTTATGAACAGCTCTTCTGAAATTGGAAAAACACATGTGACTGTCATTGCCAGCAGCCTCCTGTGCTCTCACCTCTGCTGGTCTTGGGGAATTTTAGACATTTCCCTATCTTTTCCAAGAGGCATCATAAAGAAATAGGATCACTGAAGACCCTGAGGGTTGGTGTCACTGTTATGTGAATGTAAAATAGCCCCTCCAGCTTATCCATGCTTTGAAAACCTGGTCCTGGATTTGTAGCACTGTTTTGAAGGCCGTGGAGCCATTAGAACGTTGACCCAGGCTATGGACGTCGGTCACTAAGGGTGGGCCTTTGCACGTTATTTCTGGCCATGGTTCTGGTTCAGCTCTCTGCTTCCTGGACCACTGCAGCGTGAGGTCTCTAGGACATATGCTCCCACCACCATGAATGCACCACAGACAGCTGCTCTGCCATCATGTCTTCCTCACCACTAGAACCTGAAAACCCTCTGAACCAGAATGCACCCTTCTTCCATTAAATTGCTTTTGTTGGATATTTTGCCTTGGAGATGAAAGGTAACTAACACAGTCAGTCTGACTGCAGCACCTGGCAGAAACTAACACCCAGCAGATGTTTGTTATTGATGTCAGGATGAATGATAATCAACAAATGCCCCTTGAGCCTGTTTCCTTCCCTAGAGTGTCTGTCTCTTTAGCTCCCCACAGCCAGCCTCAACTCATTCTGCCCTTTCCTGCCCTTTCTCCACTGGCCTTTCCTGAATCAGGATCCTCCCTCACTGGTCCCACTGTCCTGCACATCCTTCTTCCCGGTAGAGCAGTTGACTTAGTCCTCATTGGTCCCCCAGCTACCATCTTCCTACCCATATTTACGCTGAAGGGGATCCCATTCAAGATGTTTCTTCCTCTTGCACTAGCAGAGATTATAAGAAGAACATCTTCCTCTTATGAAATTTTCCTATCGTTTATGTATTTGTCATTTTTTTCTGCTCCTTTTATAAAAAGTAAGTTCTTTGAGGGAGGGCAAAAGACCTTGCCTTTTATTTGTAATGTGTGTGTCCTGTTGTGCATATGTAGTCCATTTTCTGTTCCTAATAATAAAATGACACAGACTGGATAAGTTAGAAATAAAAAAGGTTTATTTTTGACCTATGGTTCTCATCCAGCGTCAGGAACCTCAATTCTTGTTGGCATCCCTGAGAGATGGAGTTGTGAAGAACTTGCCAAACTAGGTTTTCAAAAAAAATCCATCCTCAGATAACTCATTGACTGAATAGATTAATACATTCATGAGGATGTAGCCCATTCTCCTCCAACCTATTAGTGTTCCACAGTGGTGATTAAGTTTCAGCACAAGGCACACCATATTAATACCATAGAAGAGGCTAATTGTTAATGTAATATTCTAGAGATGTTTGTGACTCTCCTCCAAATGACAAAATCTTAGAAATATTGTAATTGTGCTTAAATATGAATGTGTTAGTCATTAAGAGAACTAAGTTGTTACCTTGCTTTTCCATAGAGAGAGGCCTCTTAGAAAGTGTAGGATTTAGTTGGTTTTCATGTCTTACTTTCTTAAGACATTAATCTGTCGGGTGTAAACACATTAATTTAGGCAGATATTGCAAAACTTCCCTAATTTTCCAGCAATGTGAAAAGAAAAAGAATTCTTATTTTGCTAGATGTTTTCCCCTTTCAACCTCTTCTGAATTTCTTCCACCTCTGAACCCTCCCCACCCTCCACACATACACGCAGATGTGCATTGTATAATAGAGTGTTCAATGGTCAAAATTACATGATTTATGGCTGCAAATCTACTTTTTGTAATAATTTTCTACTTTAAAAGCCAGTTCCAAAAGCTCCACTCCTTCTCCAATGCACTGACTGTGGTAATATTGTAAATCTCCTTTCTCATCCTGGGAACCTCATTTTTATTTGATTTTATTGGCGCTGCTCTATTGGAACGTGTATAGCTTGGGTCCCTGTGGAGAACTGAGCAGGTGTGAGGAAAGCCAAGCATCTTTTGTTAATAGACGTTCACCCTGGGAGCCCATGAAAACACTATCACTCCAATTGCTTTTATGAAAATTCTGTAAATTCCCATGTTATGAATTTCTAGCTACACACAGGAGACCAACCATCCTTAACACAAGCCAAAGATATGATTGTTGCTATGACCGAAATAAACATTCTGCTTGCTTTCTCACAAAAATAAATTCACATATTTGGTTGGAATATTTAAACAATAGATGAATCATATTAACACTGAGTTTGACTCTTCTAACTGAGATGGAGTCAACTCTCAGTGAGATCAGCTCACAGAAAGATGATTTGGTTTTCCTGGGGGCACTTCTAGAAGCATGAAAGAGGACTTAACCATCCTTCCCTTGGGTCCAAAACTGCTTGACAATGGCATTGCCAAGCCCAGCCTAAGTCTTCTGCATAGACTTATACTTTGAAACCGAGGGAAATGGGGACAGATAATGTCCATGCCCAGCTCAAGTCATACACTTCTTTAAAACCAAGGGAGTGTGGACAGGTCCCCTCAACATCTTAGGGGAAGAATATGATATATTCATCTTCTATGTCCTCCAAGGCCCATTGAGTCAGCTGCCACAGAGGACCTGGGGGAGGCCAAGGCATACTTTTCCCCTGGGTTAGGGGCAGACATATATGATGTTACACTCTCTCAAGTTGGAAGAAAAGACATAGCTTGGTACATTACAGAACTGTATGTGTCATTAGAAAAAGATGCCAGAATGCTTTATTTAAAACTTTGTTTTCTCAGGTTGTGTTGCCCAAGTGTATCTTGGCATGGGCAACTTCAGATTCAAAAATTCCAAGACGTACGGTGAGTTTCACATAGCTGAGACTATTATATTTGGTTGTATGCCACTAACACCTTTCTCCCTTCTTGCTTACTAAGGAGTGAAGTGATGGTTGAATTTCTACTAAAAGTTTCACTCTCTTCTCCTTGCAAACCACAAGGTCTGTTCTTGACAGGCTCATCTGTTTGCTCCAAAATGAAAAACACAGAGTCTGGAGTGGAGTGGGGCCAGTGGGGTTTCTTAGATAAGGCCTTTAGAGTTGGATCTTTCACCATTCCAGGAACAACTTTCAGGAGAACGATCTAACAGGCTGCTCTGATAAACTTGCCAAATTGTTCATACTTGGCTAAAAACCACTGGCTCTCAGAGGCATATCTTTCTTCCACAGAACAGTTGAGGATGGGTCTGTAAGAACTAAGCACACTCACTTGCTGTCCTTGGGAGTTTTCAGGATGAAGATGAGCTCTTGTAAAGGACCCATGGCAGCTGACAGCAAGCCATCTTCATGCCCACTCAGTCATGCTGAAGTGAAGGTAACCTCCAAGAAGATACAGCCTTTGCAAGCAGCTCTTGTGGTTTCCTGTGCTGCTTGGCAGCTGGGTAGAGAGGTACCCAAGCATGGGTTATTTTTCCCCAACTTCCCCCACAGACTCTCATGGGGGAACTTCTGTACCTTTTTTTTTTTACAAGTGTAAAAGTTTGGTTGTCCTTACCTCTGAACTTGTCTGGGAATACTGTTCTGTTGGAAGAGGCCAAGTCTGGTCTCCCATGAAGATTCCAGCCCTTCCCAATTACTTGAGCTAATGGATTCAGACCAAACTGGCCCGGATACAGTTGCCTGTCCCCAGTGGCATTACCTTATTTCTACAGTTACATTACCTCAGTCTTTCATTGTTTCTACAAGCCATGCTGGGACTTCGTTTGGGCCCCTTAGGCATATGGAGTAAAAAAGGTTAGCTAAAGACTACCGAGAATAAGAAAAGTGGTGTCAAACAATCGGTGACTGTACAAAACCAGTAGAGCAAGAGAGAGGCCATCTAGTTCTCACAGGTGTTTAAGACCTCTCCACCTAAGCAAGCCAGGTGTGGTTTTGCATGCCTGGAATTCAAACAGGAGGATTGTAAGTTCAAAGCCAACTAGGTTATATAGTGAAACCATGTTTCAAAAACAGAACAGGACCTGGAGAGAGGGCTCAGTGGTTTCCTAATCTGCTCTTACATAGGTCCCAAGCTTGGTTTCCAGCACCCATGTCTAGCAATTCACAACTGCTTAAAAATCCAGCTCCAGGAGATCCTATACCTCTGGTCTCCAAGGGCACCTGTACTCAAGCATGTCTGCCTGTGACACACACACACACACACACACACTTAAAATAATAAAAAACAAATCTTAAAGAACAAAATAGAAGGCTTGAGAGATGGCTCAGCTGTTAAGAGTACTAGCTGCTCTTCCAGAGGTCCTGAGTTCAATTCCCAGCAACCACATGGTGGCTCACAATCATCTATAGTGGGATCTGGTACTTTCTCTGGCATAAAGGTGTACATGCAAATAGAGCACTCATATATGTAAAATAAATAAGTCTTTAAAAAATGAACAAAGGCCAGGTGGTGGTGGTGCACGCCTTTAATCCCAGCACTCGGGAGGCAGAGGCAGGCAGATCTCTGTGAGTTCGAGGCCAGGCTGGACCAACAGCCTCAAAAACAATACAGAGAAACCCTGTCTCGAAAAACCAAAAAAAAAAAAACAACAAAAAAAGAACAAAATAGAGAACGAGATTAAAAAGATCCCACTACCTAAACTGACCCTAAGTGACTATTGTTGAAATATGCCAATAAAATGGTCTGGTTCCTATGAGTTGATGCATGGTGATGGGGGTCAGGCGGAGGTAGAAAGAAGCTGTTCCCAGGTCCAGTGTTTTCTTGCAAGTGTTTTCTCACCTGCTTACCTTTTCTTCACAGGCCACTGATGGACCAGAAGAGCAGCATGTCAGAGTGAGGAAATAGTCACAGTGCAGATGCCCTGCACAGGGCCTGTGGCCCCAAGTAAGCCATCTTCATTTTCAGAGCAGAGCTGGAGGAAGGCATGCCTAGCATGGAATCTTCCTGAACATCCACACTGCTCATGATGACTAATCCATTCATATCTCCCACTCCAGGCAGGTCATAGGAAGAGGGAACCAGGGACTTGGTAAGTTCTGTGATGTGTGTTCTGGGCCTCTGGGAGGGAATCAGGAAGCCAGGGCTTCAAAGAGCACATCCACACAGAACAGGAAAGCCAAGACCAGGGCTTGCTCCCCCTGTTACTGGGAAATGGAAGACACTAGTTGTGGCATCTCTTTTCTCTAGCAGCTCAGATGCAGAAAACAGCATCACTGGCTCCCTATCCTAGATCTGGGAGGAGCTAGATTCTTTAGCTGTGTCATTACCACACCCTGTTGGTACCAGCCTCTCTGTCCATGGCCACAGAGATTTCAACCTAGATTTGTATAAACTACATGAATGCAATGATTTAGGTGAGTCCACCCACATTTCTGCCCTAGTTATTGTGTAGGTGTTAGGTGCCTTTTCTTTGTATTGATGCTTATCCTGTTACAAATGCCAAAGCTGCTCAGACTCTATAATTCTGAAATATAATGGGATCATTGTTTTCATTTATTGCCTGAGCACCTAAGTTCTTAGATAATAATTAATAAAACCAAAACCTATGGTAAGCCACCAAAATTAATGTGGAGAAGAGAGGAAATATTTCACGGTGCTTGCTAAAGCACAGATTCCTGGACCATACTCCCAGAAACTGTGGGTTGGTGGGTCTGGGAGGAGCTGAAAACTCTAAATTGTTGATTTTGCACCTGAGGTGATGATGACAGTTGTGGCAGAGGACATGGCAAGAGATATACTATCCTAAATCCCACCCCTTTACCGGCCCCATTATTTAAATACCTGCCTCTCAGTTAGACCTTGTCTATTCAACATCTTAAACTTTAGTGAGCATAGACTCTGGAGCCCCAGCTATGGATTCCCAGTTGCCATTATCCCCCATAGCTCAGAAATTGCCTCTCACATGCTTGGATCCCTATATTTTCTGTGGCATCCTTTATTTTCTTCATTGGGTCACCATTTTCACCACATGAAGCTAAAATTGGTACCCTGGATGTTTCCACATAAAGAATGAATGCATGTGCATTTGCATTTCTTTTGAAAAATGCCTTCTAGTTCTAAAACAGAAACGAATGCAGACCTACTTACTCTTAGACAAAGACTATCTTAGATCTCCCAAACCTGTTGGACAATGCAAATCTCTCAGTTCCAAGTAGACGGGTCCTAGAATTTTTCTTGGGGTGGGGCAATCACCGAAGGGTTCAGCCTCCAGATGGCCTCCCTGAACCCCCATGGGGGAGTTCATTTCTTTACATCAATTAATTCCTTTTCTCTCAAAAATTCTTGGGTTTGCCCCATTGCTTTGATTTTCAGTATCTCCACCTGTTTTGTGGGATCAAGGTTTCCTTACTTCTCTGGCTCCTAAGTCTTGGGATCAACCATAAATACCATCCCACTCAGTGACTCCTGAAGCAAGCCACAATCCTTTAATCCTTTTGAAGTTAGAAACAGCTGGAAACAGGCTGAGGCTAGAAAGAGCAAACAGACCTGGGATAGATGTTAAATCTCTCCAGCTACTTTGTCCCATCAGGCATTTGGCTGCATAATTGTGGCTGATGCTTCCTGGATATCCTGTATTCTGGGAAACCCTCAGAGGTCTACCTCCTCGAATCCCAGGGCTCATCCTCCTGGCTTTCTCTCTCTTTTCTCTCTCTCCCTCAGCAAACCTTCTTCCTGCTGATTTGTTTTGATACTGATTTCACTTCATGCCTCCTCCTCAGGAGAGAAGGGAACCAGGATAGTATTAGTGATGGATCCCAAATATCCCAAGAAAGTTTCCAGCAGAAGTAGACTGCCCCTTCCAGAGTCAATCTTCTGTTTCAAACCAACAGAAGGCCTCTTGATCTCCTTCCAGGACCGAGGGCTGTAGGAAAGTACAACAGGACGTCAGGGTTGGGGTCTGGGGCAGTCGAGAAATGGCTGATGATGGCCCATTCCAGAAATCCACTAAGAAACTCCACGCTGTCCATCTTGCTTTCCTTTCCTCCCCATTTTGGCTTTAAGAAATACTCTCACAGCTGGCACCTGAGTTTGTTATCTCTACCTGTGCTTGAGGATGCTATATACATGATTCAGGGGTTCACCATGAACCCAAATGTACACTGTATCATCCAGGAATCCGGCCAACCTCAGAGGCTTCATTTGAAAGGCTAGTCAATGGAGAAGGTGCCTGGGCAGCCTTAGGAGTTGTGGCCCCACCTCACACGCCTCTGAATGTGCTTTTTCTGTGCTTAACTTTCTTCATCTTAAACATGCTAACAAACAACCCAAAAAAGGATTACTGTGAGAATTAAGTGGGCTAATCTACAGGTATCGATAACAGTGCTTCCATGTGTTGAATGTTCACTGTCTATGATTTGAGAACGCATCCTATTATTTTGCTGCCATCCCCCTGATTTCTGTATTCACTTGAATCCTCAACAATTTAATTCAAATTCTAACTCTCTCTCAGATGGCCAAAAGCAAGTGTTTTTCAGTAAGTGGATCTGTAATTGTTCTAAACAATCCCAACCCAGTCTGGTCCCTTCAGATAAACTAAAATGCAAATCAAGTCATACATACAAAGGTTCTTGATGGGAATATGATTAGTAATATCAGAAAATTGACCTTTCTTTCTAAGTAATAGTCCTTGTTGTGGCAGGATCAGAATATGACCATCAACTAGGGAAGACAGTTTGAAGACCATATTCACCCCCATAAATAGCATTTTTAGGAAACAAAGCTCTTCTATGTGCAGGATAAGCACCTTAGAGACATAGAGCTCAGCCTTGGTGGCTTTCATTTGACAGCCAGAGCTGTTGCTGGCACCACCTTCCCCCACCTTCACCACTGCCCCAGCCACCCCCCCTCTGTTGTCCTGAGCACTTGGCCGGCATAACAGCTAAACTGGACTCTAGGGGTTATTGTTCCAGGAACCAATTTTGTTTTTATACTGCTCTGGTTGCACAAGTTTTGTAGTTTTGGATGGCCTGCTCCAACCTTATTTTTTCCTAAATTGAGTTACTAGAGTGACTTAGCCTATGTGTATAAGAATTGGCATGCTTCAATTGTTTTTTAAAGAAGTCTTTAAGTAGGAATACTCGCATGATCATTATTACCTTGAAGACTTACTCCACTGCGTCTACATTGTCTTAGTTATTATTTAGTCTTATACTGCAAAGAAAACCTAGGTGCTCATTTGTTTGGAAGGGAGGGCTCTAATAACCCTGTACCCTGAGCAGCATTGAAACGGGGCTACCTGGTTAAGAAAAATTAATGACCCTAGATAGACTTCAATTTCTCAGCTATATATTTGTGTTACTGGGCTTCCATCACTGTAACTTATCCCTGAGGCTCTCAGGTTATGGAGACAAAAAAGTGATTTTGGTTCACAGTTGTAGACATTTCAGTCCTTCAACTGATCAGCTAGCCCCACTGGGCCTGTGGCAAGGCAGACAGACCATCATGGCATGGGGACAGGTAGACCTGGTGACTAGAAACAGAATGCTTGAAAAGAAACAACCAGGGTTGTTTCTTAGGGTCTTCTTAGCTTCTTAGGGTCTATCTCTTAAGGTTGACTCCTTTCCAATCTCAATGTAAATGTAAAGTCTTTCAAGAGACATCTAAGATGCAAATGATAGCAATACTGATGCTGTGACATTTCATTTTCATGACCCACATGCTCACTCTGTCTGTATCTCTCAGGCTAATTTTATTAAATTCCTGTTTCTCAGTGACTGCTTTATCGCACTGTTGTCAGTAAGACCCACCATGCTAAGAAAGAAAGAGGAAGAAAAGAAAGAAGAAAAAGGGAAAAGAAAGAAAAAAAGAAGAAATAGAAGAATACCACACCATGAAGCTTGAGAACTACTTAGATGTTCTCTTGTTTGGAGAGTTCACACATAAAGCCTACCTTACCTTAGGGTGGGTTTTGCCTAAATGGTGACATATAAAAAACAAAACAAAAACAACAACAGCAACAAACACCCTAATTGATATTCATGAGGATCATGACCCTTATTATGAAATACAGATAGAGCAAATCCTTGTTACAGCATTGTTATACATTTAACATATTTTCTTTCTCTTCACACACTCACAATTATATTATATACTTTATAATATAAGTATTATAAAAAAGTAAAAACTGATTAGCTAATGTTGTAAACATGCTATGTACCAAATATTTTCCCAAGTGTTTCCCAGTATTTACCCCTTAATTCTCAAAAAATCCCCAGGAGATGAGTAGTCTTATTGTGTTCATTTCTTAAAAATACTAACTATTACTGTGTGTGTGGCCACACATGTAGGTCAGAGGACAGCACTGTTGAGTTGTTCTAGTTTACCAGGGATTGAATGCAGGGCACAGGGCTTGTGCCACAAGTGCTTTATCCACTGAGCCATTTGCCAGCTCCATTTTGTTTCAGCTTTTCTTTTTGCATGACTGTGTGTGTGGTATACCTGTGTGTATGTATGTCCACATGTATGTAGATGTGCCTGCATGTGTGTGCACATGTAAGCCAGTGGCTGACCTTGGGTGTCTTCCTTGATTCCTCTCTACTATATTGACTGAGTCGGAGCCTCTCATTTGAACCCTGAGAGACTAGTCTAGTCAGTCAAGTTGGCTTGCTCCTCCAGGGATAGCCTGCTCATGTCTCTACAGCTCTGGGATCACAAGCAGCCACCCAGGGCTAAACTGCACTTACATGGATGTTAGAGATCTGAACTCTGGTCTTCACACTTACCTGACAAGTACTTTACTCTTTAAGTGTCTCCCCAGCCCTACATTCAGTTTCAGGAAATGAAACTGAGGTACAGGAGAGCTCATGTGCTAGCTCATAATGCTAGTTTGTAGCCCAGTCAACACTGAAAGCCAGACATGCCAACTCAGCATGTGGGATAATCACTGCGCTCTCACACCACCACGTTGTTCTAAGAAGGAGAGAGCATCCCCACTTTATAATAAGAGTCCAAGGCTCAGAGGGACTAAGAATGTGTCCCAAATCATGGTTGTTAAGCACTGAAGCAGCTCAGACTGAAAATGGGCACCTGATGGGATCCTCCTGAATTCTATATTTCTCTGTCCAGTCTCCAAAATCCTTATTACATCCTTTGTCTCTGGAATATATTTGGAGATTCAATTAGAAAGACCTCAGTGATTTGTACTTATTACTTTTACCTTTGAATATTTATCATTTGTCTCTGAACTTCATTTAGAAGTAAGGGTATGTGATTTACACAAAAAGTCTTTCTACTGAAGACCCACATTTAAAAGACTTCTCAAAGTCCTCAAACGTGCAAGTTCTTTTTTTGATTTCTATTTAAAACCCTCCTGAATGAACTTGGCAGGAGACGGGCAATTTTTGACAGCTTTGAGATTCCTTACAATTTCTCTTTTAACATTCTCCCAGGGAAGATTAAACAATTAAAAATGCAAACGAAAGCTGAGATCAAATGCAAAAGACCAGCCTGATTCACCACCACTCAAAGGCTTGTACAGAGGAACACATTTTTTAAATTAAAAGTCCTACACTCCCCAGGCTGGGCCAGAACCGGACAAATGTGACGGAATGAGAGATTCCTGCGTCTACCTCACCCGTTCTGTAACTGTGATGCAGCCGGGCAGAGCTAACCAGGAAGACAGACAAGTTCCTCACCTCGTGAATTAGTAAAGGCAGACTGATCCCCACCCGGCAGCAGCTCCTGTTTTTGTTTTTGATAATCTCCTCAGTTGTTCACCTCTGGCCAGAGTGCCAGCAGAGAGTGGCACAGAGGGACGGGGTGGGGCTTATTGGAGAAATGATTTAGCAACTTCCCATGGAAGAACTTTTCTCAAACAAAGAGACATCTGAACTACAGAAGAAAAAGGGACCAAACCCAACCTTCTTGTCTAGGAGATCTGCCCGAATTCCACTCAGACACAAATTATGAGAGATTCTGTATGATATCACTTTTAGTTATCCTCCTGGATAAAAGGCCAACACCCAGGCTTCCTTTCCAAGCCTGTGCCTTCATCTCCCAACTGCTATGGAATGAACCCTACTCTGGAATGGATACAAGCTGCCTTGCTTGGAAAAGCAGGTGAAAGTCAACACTAGACAAGAGGTCTCTTGCTTCAAGCTAGGACAAGGCTGTAGCAGAGCTCATCGTGGTGAGACTAAACTAGGCTGGAATACGTACCCAGCTTCTTCCTCAGTCCCAGTCTATATCCCTGGTCCCTGAAGGAGCTTTTCCTATAAGCACCAGATTCCTAAGTCACAGTAAAAGAACCTCCAGCTCTGGCTGCTTTACAGGAGTCCAACCTAAGAGAGTAGACTGAACTAACGCCCAGTCTAAGAACATCTCAAGACAAAAGTTAACACAAAAACCTTAATGCACACAGACTTTCTTCTTATGTTATTACTTTCGAATTAGATTCCAGAAAGTACTAGGCCAGACCAGACAGTTCAGGGTTATTGACATACACTGCCAGATTTTCTCTAGGGATCATTCAAATCGCACAGTTCCCAGCAACACTGAGAAACACAGATTACAACAAAGCAACCCGCCTCAGAAGCCGTTAGGCCACCCTCATAAGTGCATGCTGTTGCTGCTCTTATTTGTGTACTGTGAATTCCTACAGAGGCAGAGCATGCCCTTATACTTGTCTCCTAGCTACACACCTCTCTTATTTCCGTTGGATTTCTAATCTGAGAAGGACATTACACGCCAGGTTTCCAGAAGTTTCAACACCACAAGATTAATCTCAATGTGTGTGAGGGCTTTTTAGTTCCATGCAAGACAATTCCAAGTTTGAAAACTGGGCAGAGTTGGGACTGTTTTCCTGTGTAGAAAGGTTAACCTAAAGCAGATGTGGATCTCTTTCTTCATACCGGATTATTTGTCAGAGGATGTTAACTCCTCAGAACACACACACACACACACACACACACACACACACACTCACGCACGCACACAGAAATAATAGGCATTGAACTTACTTTTCATGTCTTCTTATTAATATGAAAATGTCCTGAATAAACAGACTAAGGATTACAGTGACAAACGACTTCCTTGGCCACAATGCCCTGCTTCGTGGCAAAGCTTCCTTGCTCTATTTATCCCACTTCCTTCTTCCCTTTCTTACCCACTAAGAGCTCTCATGGTTTATGTTTGTGTCTTTGTTTATCCCCCCTTTATGTTCCTTTTTTTCCAAGCTTCCCCCCTGCCCAGGGTAGCCTGAGAAGCTGTGGCAGGAGGGGTTTGATGGAAATACAGACTGAGCAACTGTCTAAAGAGTAAATGAGCACAGGCTGATGATTCAGGGTAGTTTTTCTACACCTTGTTTCACTCGGGGATGTGAGACCCTTCAGGGTTTCCCAAAAATCTGACAGCATTGATGTGCTGAGAACGAACGTCTAGGATGGGTGCCTGATAGATGTCACCGCATGATTCCCACACAACTTTGTGATTCCCACACAACCTTGTAACCATAGCTTATTTGTCAGAGGTTGGCCTTGAGTTTAGAAACATAAGAAGGTATGTGGCAGATAGACTCAGCCCTGAGGTGTGTGTTTCTAACCTCTATTAAGACTTTAAATTACTTGCCAGTATTTAAATCTGAAATATTTCATATCCAACCCCTAAATTATTTTTCATTTTACTGCTTCTTATTGCATGTTAACTGGGCATACTAATAAGATTCAGATATAGTCCCACAGATGTCTATGTGCCCCTTTTGTTTACTAATCCCTACTCATCTTTTAGGTCAGCCTTCTTATATTTATTTACTTAGTTTCTACATATGAAAGAGAGTGGTATAATTTTGGTTTTGATCTGGCTTAATCTACTTAAAAGAATGTCCTTCAGCTCCATCCATTTTGCTGAAAATGATGGGATTTCAACTTCTTTTTTGTAGTTCACTGTGTGTGGGGGGGAGGGGATTCTCTTGGAGGACAGAAGAAGACATTGGATCCCCTGAAGCTTAACTTATGCATTGTTGTGAACTGCCTGAAGTGGGTGCTAGGAACTGAACTTGGGTCCTCTGGAAGAGCAGCAAGTGTTCTTAACTGCTGAGCCATCTGTTTGGCTCTAGGGATTTCAGTTTCTTTATGGCCAAGTAGTACTATACTGTGTTTACAGGCAACATTTTTGTATGCATTAATCTCTTAAGATCACCAAGGGTGATTCCATATCTTAAGGATTTAAAGTGTCTCTTTGGTGTTCTGGTTTCATTTTCTTTGATTATATATTGTGATAAAAAAAAACCTACAGAGTAAAATAAAACATTTGTCAACTATTCATTTGGCAGAGACAATATCTAGAATACGCAGAATAGGTAAAGAACATAAAAACACATTAAAACAACACAAGAAAATCAAGCAACTCAATTTAAAAATCAGCAAAGAATTTGAGTAACATTTGTCAAAAGAAGAAATATAAAGACCTGAAAGTATATGGAACAAAAATCTTGATAGCATCAGCTATCAGAAATATGCAAATCAAAACTGTAGTGAGGTATCATCTAACCCCAGTTAGGATGGGTGCTGAAACAAAAAAAAAAAAATATGCCAAAGATTCAGAGAAAGGTGTGAGCACTTTAATTTGCTGCTGTCATTGATGCTCTTTGTAGCCTTAAACCCCTTGGCTTCTTTACCTTTTTTTTTTAATCGATGTTCTTCATTTCCTTCCTAAGCAGTCTCATCCCTTGGCTGGGATTCTCTTCCTCCATGTTTCCTTCAACTCGTCCCTCTACACAGAACAGCCTCTTCAGTTGACTATTCTGTTCAGTGTCACCTCTTCTCTGCATTCTTTTCTGGCTGCACACTGTCACCACTATCAAGGTAAAACTGACTCCTCTATGACATGCATAGCTACATGGACTTATACATAAACGCTAGACACCTGACAAATACTGAGAGAATGAAATGGATACTGTGTGAGTGGGTCTCCATATAAAACGGTCATGGGCAGCATAGCTGTTGGGAAATGCTGGGTTAATGGGTTGAGCAAGGAACTGTGGGTTCATAGAGAGGTTATTCCATGGAAGACATGACTTGCTTTGTTTGAGATAGGAAAGACAAGGAGAAATTAGCTCAGCTAGTAAGTTGAGGAGAATATTTCAGGGAAAAAAACCCTATCTGAGAGGCATTGAGTACGTGGCTTATGTAGGGATGGCAATTAGGTCAGTATTGGTGCAAAAAATGATGTGTTCTAAAAAGCAATAGAAAGTAAGCAAAGAGAAATTCTAAGAACTCCCCTCA